TGTTTTGATTGCGCCAGACAAAAAATTTGTAAGAATCTTAACATATTAAACTGATGAATATCACGTTTTTACCGTGCGTCATGGACATTTGTGTGTATATTACGCGTCAAGGAAAAGATATGACTGTCGTGGGCCAATTGCCTACTTCTTACGTTGTCAAGACCTTACATAGGAAAGTCTTTTTTGCGGTCGTGAATTTATGATCGTCAAAGGACTTGAGAAAATCAAAGAAATTCTTGGGGGTGCGTATCGAACGGAAAGAAACGTTGGGTACGCAGTGAACTAACAAGAGAGTGTCGACAGGCTTATTGATATATTAAAGACAAGATTAAATGCAATGAAGTTGCCCAATGAGAACGGGAATGATAGACAAGACTACAATGAAGACTTCGCAATGAAAAAAGGTGCTACTGGTGATTCGGCGATGACATAAATTAGGTTCCAACGGATCCATAATATTCGATACAAGCGTCAGAATAATACATTTGCGGTACATGCGGCAAAGTGGGAGATTCATCGACAAACAATGAATGATTAGAAGCTTGCGAATGAAGTATTGAGCTATATGAAACAATCTTACAGCATGCGTCAGGTCATGTAAATCACTAAGGTCCGTAATAAAGCGGTCCGTGGTACACGTGGACCGCTAGCCACACGACAAGCAATAAAACAGATTCTTATTGAAATACGGTAGATGTAACGAAGTTACACATACCCTTGTAACAGGGGTGTGTGTCACACCAGATGGTCATGGTGTGACTACACACCCAAACAAGAATACGGTACGGGGCTGTATAGACAGTAGTTATACATGTATTTAAATCTTACTATGCATATTTTGGAAAATCTATGCATTTAAAATCAGGCGGCTTTGCCGCAGATAAAAATAAATAAAGTCAGTTTTGAAATTAAACCGACGAGCAGATTAGCCTTGGGTCAAGGCATTAATTACTCTTGGAGTAAGCGGATTGCGATCCGCTAAACTCGTTCTCGCTCTGAGTATAGAACGCGAGTTTGCTGACCTTACTAACGCCTCCTTCTGTTTTTTGGAACAGGCCAGTCTACAATGGCCTGACCTTAGCGGGATCCGCTCGAAGGCCACGCTTTCAAATGAAGCCCCCTAAAAAGGGAATCTCTTCCGCGCCAAAGGAGCACTTGTCTGCATTGGCGTACACTTTGTTCGTGTGCATGCACTCGAGCACAGCTCTTGAATGGACGATGTGGTTTTCCTCATCCGTCCTCCCGTGCTCCGCACGACTGTGAACGAAAATGTCGTCAAAATATGTCCGTGCATACGCCCTGTTGGGCCTGAACAACTGCATCACAAGACATTAAATGTTGCTAGTGCATTTGACAGCCCTTGGGGCATCACCAGCCACTACCAGAGCATGCCGATCAGAGTGCTCACCGCGGTCAGCGGAATATTACTCGCTCTGATTAGCAATTGGTAATATTCATCTACCAAGTCGAGTGCACTGTACTTCGTACATTCCATTATGTTGTTCTGAAGAACTTCCTTTCTAGGAATCGGCGTCTGTGCCGGAATGGTGGCAGCGTTGAGCTTATTGTAAG